CTGCCTCCCAAGTAGCTGGGACCACAGGCACCTGCCACAACGCCCAGCTATTTTTTGGTTGCAGCCATCATTGTTGTTTGGTGGGCTCAGGCTGGATTCGAACCCGCCACCTTAGGTGTATGTGGCTGGCGCCTTAGCCACTTGAGCCACAGGCGCCGAGCCTTCTTGTTTATTTTTTAAACTATGTGGTCAGTATAATTAGAAATAACTGAAATTATTATCTGCTTACTCAGTTACAATGACTTTAAAACAAGACATCATCTCTGATATAGTTTTTAGATTAAGTTATAAATGTTCACTTTAGAGCTGCTTGAAGATTGATAGAGATGCATTTGAAAAGCATTATTTTTTTATTGATTCTTAATGTAGTAAATTACTGAAGTTCCTTGGTGACAAACAGAAGTGGCCTGTGCTGTGGCGCACATTCATCCTCCTGCAGAGCCACGGTTTGCATTAATGGCGTTGAGACTGCACTCACTTATATTAAAAAGCTTCCACTATAATTAATCCTTTTCATTTCAGATTAATTTGGCACAATTTCTAGCTATAAACACTCATAAAAGATAGACAGTTGGAGAATCCACTACAGGTTTTTTCCATACACCTGTGGCTGTCTTTCCATGACAAGTCATTATTGATGTGCTTCTAGGAACAAGTGCAGTAGAGCTGGCTGAGAATTAGGGCCAGTGTGAAAAATGCTAAGTGGATTATTTTGCATAAAAAATAGACAGTTTTTAAAGTTGTGTAATTAACCTGTGTTTAGAAAATACCTTGATTTATGTTCACATTTGTTTCTCAGTTGCATACATTATGGAAATTTAATTTATAATCCATTTAGCTGATGCAATCATAGTTTTTAGTGCTATCATTTATTAGTGCTTGTATGTTCAGTGCTCTGAAGGTTTGAACCTGCCTGTGTAAAAAATTACACCTATGCATTTACGTTTTATGAGTCGCAGTGGGATTTCTGTTTAACATGCAGGTAGCTCTGATATATTTAACCAGTTCCACTGGCGTATTGTTAGTAATGCAGAAATGGCAAACAATGACCTTATATATTGAACATCAAATGATTTACACTTAAGCTCACTTTTAAAGTCCACCGTACAAATGAGGGCTTTTCTTCAATTCCTGGCATCAATCATGTAGTTTTATGCAGAATGTTCTCCTTGGCTTTGAACTCATCATTCATTTAGAAGTAATGGTATTTATAAGTGGTCCAGGTTAATCGTATTATATCAACTATTCTTAACTTTGGCAAACTGTGGCTTTTCAAAACAACTTTACCTTTACCAGTAGATGACTCTGTGATCATTGGCATTTTATTATTCGTTGTCTCATTAAGAAGTTTTTTTTCCATGTTCTCAAAATTAACTGGATAATCATAGTCTTCAGAAATAAAGTGAAATAACATAGCACTTAAGTTTATGTGGCAGATAACAGCTGTGGTCCTCGTGGGGGAATGTTATGCTATCTGTGGTAAGCAGATGTGAGTCCATGCTCCTTACACACAGCAGCCTTGGAAAAAAATGCTCTTGAACGCAGGCATCAGTGGTTTCTACAGCAGTAAACCGGTGGCCTCCAGATGTGCACTTTGAGGAGAATGTCCACAACCGTTTTCTGGTTTCCGTCAGTCATGTTGCTGGGCCATTCTGTCTGTTTGTTAGTTAGAGACAGGGTCTCACTCTGCCACCCAGGCTGGAGTGTAGCAGCATGATCACAGCTCACAGCAACCTCAAACTCTTGGGCCCAGGTGATCCTCCTGCCTCTGCCTCCTTAGTAGCTGGAACTATAAGTTTGCACCACCAAACTCAGGTAAGTTTTATAGTTTTTGTAGAGATAGGCGCTCCGTATTTTGCTCAGGCTGGTCTTGAGCTCTTGGCCTCAAGCAATACTTACACTTTGGCCTCTCAAAGTGCTAGGGCTGGTAGGTAGATGAGTCTTTAAAATGCAGATGGAGGTGGATCTTAACATGCTCTGAGTATGTATGTTTTAGAGTATTTAAGGATTTGTGATTTTGTAGGCTACATGTATGAAATAGATGATTAAATATTGTAACTGCCCAATGCTATGACTAAGCAAAGGATTCACTCCCCAGGTGAGCAGCTTCTCACTTGCTAGAAGATTGTAGCGTAGTCCCAGCTCTCTGGACACTCTCACTCCCATGTTAATTCGCACAGATCTGTCTTATTAAACCCTTAGGTGTACCATTTAGTGGCATGGTGTGGTCCAGGGAAGGATGGCCTCTCAGTTTCAATGTGATCTCCTGAGTTGGCAGTCTCGTGAATGCAGTTTTCTTTTTGTCTTGGGACTCCATGAGTAGCTGCACCCCTCATCATGGTTATTTACAAAGTTGGGCTAGTCCACCCTCAGTCTTTCTCTGTACTTCCTGGTGTGCTTCAGTCTCAGGCAAGGGTCTCAGTGCCACACCTTCAAACATGAATGGAGTTCATGACCACAGTTGCTGGGAGGGTTTCTTACTTTACAACTAGGCCTCAAGTTACCCACTTAATAAGTGAGGGTAGTAACTCCACCAGTCAGGAAGATTCAGGAGAGCATTTTACCTAACCCAGATCTCCGTGCACATTAGGTGGGTTCTAACAGGTGCACGTTTATACAGGACGTGCAGATGTCCTGTTTGCGTCCCTTTTTTTTTTTTGACAGAGTCTCACTATGTTGCCCTCAGTAGAGTGCTATGGCATCACAGCTCACAGCAACCTCAAACTCTTGGGCTCAAGTGATTCTCTTACCTCAGACTCCCAAGTAGCTGGGACTACAGGTGCCCGCCACAACTCCCAGCTATTCTTTGTTGCAGTTGTCATTGTTTAGCTGGCCTGGGCCAGGCTCAAACCTGCCTTGGCACTATAACCACTATGCTATGGGTGCCAAACCCTTTTTTATTTATTTATTTTTTTGAGGCAGAGCCTCAAGCTGTCCCCCTGGGTAGAGTGCCGTGGCATCACAGCTCACAGCAACCTCCAACTCTGGGCTCAAGCGAGTCTCCTGCCTCAGCCTCCCAAGTAGCTGGGACCACAGGTGCCTGCCACAACGCCCGGCTATTTTTTCATTGCAGCTGTCGTTGTTGTTTTGGTGGGCCCAGGCGGCATTCGAACTTGCCACCTTAGGTGTATGTGGCTGGCGCCTTAGCCAGTTGAGCCACAGGCGCCGAGCCAAGCCCTTATTTATTTATTTATTTTTTGAGAAAGAGAGTTTCACTTTGTCACCTTCAGTAGAGTGTCTTGGCATCACAGCTCACAGCAACCTCAAACTCTTGGGCTTTAGTGATTCTCTTGCCTCAGCCTCCCAAGTAGCTGGGACTCTGGGCACCCAACACAGCACCCAGCTATTTTTAGAGATGAGGTCTCGCTCTGGCTCAGGCTGGTCTTGAACCTGTGAGTTCAAAAAAAAAAAAAAAAAACCGATCAGGTCAAAACTCCATGCTGGCTCCTAGCTCTTTATGAAAAACATT